TTTTTCACTCAAGTATTATTAAAAGCTGCTAATGAGCCGCTGTAATCTAAGAATTTGCTTAACGATAGTCCTTTTGGTAATATCTGCATTATTTTATTGATTTAAAATATGATGTTATTTTTCCATGTCCTTGCGTATAGCCTTTGAAGGGCTCCGTGAACAATCAAATATGGGGTCAAGGGGTGAGCTTATTGCTGGAAAAATTCTTAGTCACTTAAGTGATAAATGACTTCACCTGGTTCCATTTGAAACTTGACTAAGATCATTTACTTTATACTACAAATATAAAATAGTTAAAATTTCAGGTAAATTGAAAGAGCGGAATTTTTATGATCTAAACCAAATCTGGTCACCATTAGTAAAACTAATAATTGCTATATGGCGGGAAAAACAGTTGTAGAAACTTTGCATAGCATTTTGGAATAATGGAATCCAAAATTACCGTACTACAAAGTTTGTTCTTGCTGAGCACAACACAAATCCTTGAGCGTATGACGTCACTGTCTCATTGTCTACTCCAAAGCTGTATCTTCGTTTCTTCACTTCATTTACATGAAGTGACATCATTGATTTCAAGCATTGGAAAGAGCCTAACCTTGTCTGTCTACCGGCCTTGTTGCAGTCCAGGCGTCTGTAACTCATTATCTGAATTCATCTTTTGTAGTCATTGTTAAACTTTGTCGTGCCGATGTACACTGGTTTGCAAAACTTAAGCAACAGGTGTTCTTTTTTGCATAACTCCACGAGAAATCATCTGAAAGACATGAAATTCAGAATTAAGAGACAGCATTTTGTATTTAAACGATGACGAAAGCATAATTGCGCTAAAAATGAATGCAATGCATACAGTATGAAATCAAACAAAAATAGGCTTCATTGAACTCATAGTATCGTTATACATGATTGTCTGTACAAGAGGAAGAACAACAAGCAGATGTTCCTTACTATGGTATATGCCCTCCCCGTACTGCAATGGTTGCTTCGAACGGTCTGTCCACACTCAGCACCAGATTTTCCAACAGATCTTGAGGTAAGAGTGCCCATTCCTCAATCAGCATCTGTTTCAGTTGCTGGGTGTTCCCCGGAGGATGTAATCGTGCCACAAGGCATCTCCCCAAAGTATCCAACACATGTTCTACGGGATTTAAATCAGGGCAACACGCTGGCCAATCTATTCGAGTAATATCTTAACCTTTCAGTAGCTTCTGAACAGCAGGAGTCTGGTGTGGTCGTGCATTGTTATCCATAAAAACGAAATATGCTCCAGTGGCACCTCGGAACAGACGCACATGGGGAATGGTCACCTCCTGACAATAGCGATCTCCGGTTACAGAACTTCTGTCGAAAACGTGGAGCTCTGTCTGCCCGTTCAGCATAATGTCTCTCCAGATGAGATCTTCAGGACACCGTAACGGTCTCTTTCCGTGATGTTACTGAGATTAAACCGTATCCCAACCTCTCTCCAAATCAATTTGTGTTGAGAATCGCTTGTGGCACTAAAACGACTCTCATCCATAAGGAATATATGACTCCATTGATGAGATGCCCAGTTTTTGCGCCTCATGTGGCACTGTAAAGGGTGATGCCGATGGCCAACTTTCAAAGATATGCAGCGTTCAGGACGGCAGGCGAATAAGCCACTTTTGTGAAAGTGTCTGGACACAGTAAACCGCGACACTTGTGGCCCCGTTGCTGTACACAGTTGTTGAACTATGGAGTGTGGTGACTGGTTTCGGGCTCTTTTCGCCTGCAGGACAATATATCGGTCATCCACTGCAGTTGTTTTCCTTGGGCGGCCACCACCAACCTTTCTAACAGCCGTACCTATGGTTTGTAAGGCTTTCCAAGCGCGCGAAACGACACTTTTGTTGATTCCGAACTCTTCTGCTATATTGGTAACACTTCGCCCCTACTTCAGATTTTCGATCATTCTTCCACGTGTGAAGTCATCCAGATCATCTCTTCTAGCCATATTTCACGAAAGAACTCCCTGTACTTCCAGCGAATGTCTTTAATTGCGTCTCCATCCTTCCTTTTATGGTAGTCTCGAGTTGAGCGCGCCGACCGTACGCGTTTTGCCGTACGCTCACGTAGCCTGTGACATTTTTTCTTGACATTTGCATGTTCATTGTACTGAATGCAAGAACCCCTTTTCTACAAAGTAAGGGCTATCTGATTAAAATTTACATTGTTGCTTAAGTTTTGCACACCAATGTATAATGTGATATCGCAGATGAAACGTTTTCGATCGAAGAAAGATCTGGTGAACGAGCCGACCAGCCATAATCGTAACCTATTGTGTCTAGGAGGATACGCCTAGCCCGTAGTGTATTATTCCGTATTAGTGATGCTGACTGCTATACCAACGGGTGCGGTTTCGAATCCTGGAAAAGGCATAGATATTTGCAAGCTTATACTAGCCTACCAAGAATCTCTCGAGAAAACTCTTGGTTCGTTGTGAACTTTAAATGTCCCCCTTGACGAACAGACACTATACACTTACAAACATTCAAGTTTTCCCCAAGATTCGAATCCGGGGACTATGTATGGCAGTCAGCATCACTGTACCTTGGGTGGCTGGATTTCACACTAGAAACTTCATGCTCTCTTGAATTGAATTGTGATCAATTCGTACTCAGTAAGGACTCTGGCTCCCTTTTTTTTTCAAGCACCCCATACCAGACAGTTCTTGATTTCTGGTAATGAACTATGTTCTACTGCTACTCAATAAAGACTTTGTGCCTCCACTTTTTTCAAGTAACCCATACCAGAAAGTTCATGCTTTATTGAAAATAAAAGGGAGCACAGTCCTTAGGAGTATAGCAGAGGTGATATGACATAATGGTGAGATGGCGGAGCACACAGATAATTCGATGAGCTCCGAACATGGTTTCGTTCCAAAAGGAGCCTTGCGTCTTTTGCCCTGAAGGGAAATGATTGGATGGTGAACAATACTATTTCTGGAATCGTAGGATGGAGTTATTTGTGAGATGGAGTTATGGATGGAGGGTTCTGCTTAGTCTACGTAATCCTCGATGAATGAAACACGTCGACACGGCGTTGAAAGATTTTGGGATTCTTACCCTACCTTTGATTCCCTCCGTTCCGTGATTTCTTGACAAGTAGTTTATTCACTGCCGAGTTACGTCGTTATGATCAAAAAAGGGTAAAGCCTTAGTTCATGGTCATTTTCTCATCAGAAGGAAATTTTTTTTTCACATAAAAGACAAATCGCTCTCGTTTCTTGAAGTTTCCATATTTGATAGATTGGAACAAGAGATTTGACATCTCCAAAAAAGGAGCAAAAAACTTTAAATTATTCCTTTCACTTCCCATATAGGGTGCGGCAGCGTTCATAGTAACTGTAATTTATTTATTACCTCTTATATCAATTAATAGTTAAAGGTATGCCATTTACTAATGTGTAAGTCATTGTCCATTGCGTGGATTACTTTTTAAATATGATGCCCCCAGTGCACAGCACATTCATCTAGGCGGCGTTGGAAGCTTGCCATTGCTCGGAGTAACGTATTCCCTGGGACATAGCCGACGGCAGTTTGGATGCGATCCTTTAACTCAGGAATGGTGGCACAACGTGTTCGCAAAACTTCTTGCTTCAGGTGGCCCCAAAGTCTGCACATGAAAGATCAGATGAGCGAGGCGGCCAGGAAATGTCACCAAAACGGGAAATAACTCTACCTGGAAATGTCTGTCGCAATGGCCCACCCATCTAGAACTTTACCATAACGTCCCAAGTTGAAATGTTGTCGAAATAGACGCCGGGTAGCAATAACAGAGTAGTTATTCTTGAAAGAACTTTCAACAGCAAAGGCACGATGCTGTGCACTCCAACAATCCATATCACCGTCACACTCGAAATGGTAGCTCATTAGTACACAAATGTGGCACGAGCTGGTTCGCATTCATGCAGTACATCATTGTGCTACGCAAGTCAAATTACGCTATGAACGTTGCCGCACCCTGTACATTCTCAGCTTCCGTTCTTATTCTAATATTCTCCATAAAATTATACTTTAAATTTACAGTTTGATTATTTAAATTTCAAGCGAGGAACATTATTATTATTTACTTTATAAGGTATTTCTCCCACTTCTTTAGCGTGCCTTCGTGGTGTAACGGTAGCACGCTGGGCCGGTATTCCATAGGTCCGTGGTTTGATTCCCGGCTCAGGCGGTTTGCTATTTTTCATCTTTTCTGCCTCTAAAAAAATCCTAATGACTCTATAACTTAATACATTTGAACAAATAGTTAAAACAAGTTCTAAAGATTGAAAATTGAACAAACAAGGAGTTCTAAATTACCACTCGAATCAAGCATCCCTAAAGTGACCTAACAATTCGTGAAATACAGAACAGATCCTTGACTGTATGCTCTAGAATAGCGATAGTAAACTTTTGTTATTAAGAACGTAATAAAAAGTTTTAAAAACCATAGAAGGTGCATAGTTTAATTTTTGAAAAAAAATTAAATTAAAAATTCAGTTTTTTTTTATTTTCAGGGTTGTAATAATAAATAAGCAAAGTAATTACCTTTTCAAAATTGTATATTTGTACAAAATAAAGATTATAATTGCATGGAATAACTAAACAAGTCAAAAGTAAAAGTACTCACTTAATTACAAGTAATTGTTATTACACGCATAAATTTAACTTAAAATTTTGCCCTGTTATCTACTGCTCATTTATTGTAATTGAGGACATAAATGCCATTCATTATCTGCTCTTAAACAGTCATCTAAATGTATATGTGTAAGTTCGTTTCCGTATTTCGATACAAAATATATCAGATTTGGAAACGAGCATTCACAGTTACTATAATTAGTTGAACCATATAAATGCATACCTTTTAGCGCACATTTTCTTAAAACAGAGTATTTTTCTATCAACTAAGTTTCAAAATGTGTTGTCATTATTATGTGTTTTCAAAGTAAGATCACTTTACATGTTTATTGTTTCTATTTCTAGGCTTTCTGTATTGTTGAAAAAATATTTATGTACTCACATTATCTTCAGTACAGGCTGTCCGTGCCCAACGTTTTAAACAGGATAGTACCGTTTTTTCGACATTTCCCTGCTGTCTCATCGATATGATTTAAATGACAAATTTTCCCTTTTTTAGTGAAGCTATAGATATACTTTTACTAGGTAAGCATAAATTACTGTTCATAACCTATTATCATGAGTATTTAAATCTAAATTAGCTATTAAACTACACCTATTTAACCTTTCTATACTTCACAGGAATTACTGTGTTCGCATTTACGAGAAACCCAAACTCAAGGTACTCAAACAAAAAGTAAATCCTAAATCAAAAGTTTATTAAAAATCTACATTTTGTAGTAAAGTTTAACAAAACGTAAACTTTGCTAATAGGGAGGCTTTAGAATTTTAAATACGTAAATACATGACAAATCCGGCTCTAACTCTGGTGACGTTTAGCCCTGCATTTTTAAAGTATTTTTATATCTATTTTTCTTCTAGTTTCATTTTCTATTATAAAAGTTTCTTGATAAGTCTATTATAAGTCTTATTTTCTATTATAAGTTTCATTTTCTATTATAAGTTTCTTTATGTCTAGATTTTTTCTAGTTTCTTTTTCTATTATAAGTTTTTTATAAGTAATTGTATCCCTATTTTTATTCTAATTTCTTTTTCTATAAGTTCCTTTATAAGTATTTTTATTTCTAGTTTTCTTCTAGTTTTGTTTTCTATTAAAAGTACTACATGTTTCTCTTTGGTGTTCGCCTTTCATCCTTGTCTCGAGTAGTGAGGGTGCATCTGAAATACGTCACTGGACGCCGCGTTGTGATGCTCTAGAGGGTGGCATCTTGAAACATAGTGTTAGACAATTTAAAACAGAAACGATTAAAATTAAGATACATATAGTAGCAAATTATACCACAATATCCAGAGCTTGATTGTTCTAAAACGAATTAAAAATATTTCCTTGGTAAAGCCTCGTTATTCGTCTTTCAATTTCTTCGAATGTCACGCAAATACACATTTAATGAAAATATTATTCACAGAGAAGCCTTAAAAAGTAAAAAAGGTAAAATTTCCTAATCATTATAGGCATCAAAAAAGGCTTTTTGGAAAAAAATATCACTTTTACGTTTACTTATACGTATGCGTTAAAATTATCTCAAGATAAATAAAAGATGCGATTTTCATATTGTAATAATTTAAGCGTATTTTTGTTCACCTTCGTATTCAAATGCAGTATATATTGTACAGCCGTAATTCTAGTTATTTAAAGGAAATATAATTTTAGGATTGTAATAATGTATTAGACAATTTTCTGCTTTTACCAGTTCTAACAACTGTAGTATCATTCTAATTTTATTAACATGTTTTGTTTTCATCGAGTGTGCCTTGGATTCACATATTTCGTATCAAGAATATTGTTTCTAGACAAGTCCGCATATTCTTTGTCAAGATATATTCATGTTTAGTTGCTGTACCTCATAAATCTTTAATAAAGCTCGTTGTCAACTCCATCCACTGTTTGTTTTAGAGGTTTTTCATATTTGTCACAAAATAACAATTTATTACGAATGCAGTGACCTTAAAGAAAAGCATAAGACTATTTTCTAAAGCAATGCGAAGCTTCTGAATTCTGTTCCTCTTAAAATATCTCTACTACAAATAGAATGGGAAGACATCTCAAGATAGAAAGGTTGGTGTCAAGAGTAAATAAAAACCACAGCGGATAAAATGTCCCTTTGTTGGACGTAAGGAACAAATAATAACTCCCCATGGCCACAGTGATTGAATGCCAATTGTTCTGCTGACCATGATGTTTCCTTTTAGTCTGAAGCCAGATGGAAGTCGTAAAAATTTGCTTTCATCACCTTGGGGATTCGCTTTTGCTATTATATTTTGAATTATGGGTCAGATAGTAGAGAATGTGTCTATTTGTTCAATTAGATAGAGTGAAGTTTCGGAAAGTATTCTTGGGGAAAAAGAATAACTCGAGAAGCTGTTACCATTTAAGATCATGAAGGTCTCCATGTTTAAGATATCAATAAAACAACTAATCTACAAATGGAATTCATAAAATATTCCCTTGTTCTTATTTAGAAATGTAACATCAAAACATCTGTAGTTCGAAATGTCCATTTTTTGGTGTAAAGTAAAATAAGAAAAAATTAAATCAAATATGTTGAGTTTACACTCATTCGGGATTTCACTACATAATCAATAATCATAAAATAAATTACATGCTAAATAAAGTAAGCATTTACAAATAAAATGCACTATTACATTTTTATAGAATTTAACTATTATGCTTTAATGGGTTACGAATTTTGTGTATGATTTACGTAGACACATGTGTAAATAGTTTTAAAAGCGCACTATTCTGTCTCGCATTCTTTCAGAAGAGAATAAATACGTCATTCACGTCAAAAGATTCCAAACGGTATAAAAAAAATCTTAGATTAAAATAGTGTAAAATCAAACAGTTAGTCAAACAGTAGAATTAAATCATATAAAATTTGAAAAGCTTAAGGAAAATATTTCCCAAATATTTTCAGGTGATGATCAAAATTATTTTTGTGGATATTAAACTCATCATTGTACTAAACTAAATTTAAAAAGTAAAAATTTACATTTTGATTTTTAATCCTGAATCAATTGTCCCTGAAGGACTACTGTTTTCGTTTTGCGATTTTGCGTTGGTTCACTATAAATATCCGTTTCACTTTTCAAACTGTTGCCACCAAATGTTAGAGTCCTGCATTATATTTAAAGAAATTAATGGAAAATCTGCATAAATGTATGGATATTTCTCGCATTGTGATACAACAACGGTACCTAGAGCCATCGAATTTTGAATGACGTAATCCTACTTCGAATATGGGCATGTGGAAGCCCAAATTTGAAATTTGGAATTTATTTTATTATCGATTTCAAATTTTGTAAACCTTTAACGAACTTTTGATTAACAAACTTAAGGATTTCAAAGCGAGCGATGGCAACGTTGTACAAAAAAAAAAAAAACAGTTTTATCTCCAGCGTGCGAGATTCTGTATCGGAAATTCTAAAGATAGGCTCAATTTAAAACTACAGGGTGTTTATAAAGTCCCGGACCCATTTTGATGTTTAATAACACATAAAAAAAAGAAGATATAAATAAGCGTATGGTATTTATTGATGGAATAACTTATATATTTTCCTTTTCTGGATTGAATGTCTTTATTTTTGTAAATATCAAAACGTAAATATAAATCGCGTAAATTTTGTAAATATAAATCGCGTGTGGTTAATTTCAGATGATTTCATTTTCCAGTCTAAGTATCTGTACTTTTCTGAATATCGTCTGCTTATTAATTGCATTTTTCTCTCTTTTGTTTTTGTCAACTATTGCAATGTTATGTTTACTTATGATGTGTTTGTTCTAGTATTTTTGTATGTGATGTTTTATTCGACCGGATATTAAGGAGAATGCATACACCACAAGAGAAAGCACAGATTTTATGGTGGTTCATAGAAATGAAATTCATAATGCAAACACAGAGAAATTGCAAAAGAATTTACCAAAAAGATCCTCCATCCAAAAGCAGTATCTTGCGATGGAAAAAGAATTATCCAGAAACTGAAAGTATCGCAGATAAGAAACGTTCCGGACGTCCCTGCACAAGTGGTTTTGATGTTGAGTGTGTCGGAGAGACATTTTTACACAGTCCTAGAAGATCTGTGAGATCAGCGGCAAGAGAATTGGATATGCCAATTTCGACGGTGTACGAGGTTATTAAGAAAACATTAAGACTGCATGCATACAAAGTTCAAATTGTTCAAGTTTTGGAACAGGACGATAGGCCTAGGAGGATGTCCTTTGCAACAGATATGCTAAGGAGGATAGAAGATGCTGCTAAATTTCTGAAGCGCATAATGTTCTCCGACAAAGCATACTTTCATCTTTCTGGCTTTGTTAATCGCCATAATGTGCGCATATGAGGATCTGAAAACCCCTATGAATAACGTGAGGCACAAAGGGATTCCCTAAAGGTTAATTTGTGGTGTGGACTAATGCACGCCGAGTTATTGGGCCTTTCTTTTTTACAAAAAAGACGGTCTTGTCAGTCGTATACTTAGACATGTTGGAAAACTTCGTATTTCCACAGCTAGAAGAGCTTCAGCCACATGTCTTTTTGCAACAAGATGGTGCTCCACCTCATTGAGGTACATTGTTCGTAGTTCTTTGAATGACCATTTTACAGGAAGATGGATTGGGCGAGGAGGTTCAATTCCTTGGCCACCCAGATCACCTGATATAACGCCGCTGGACTTTTTCCTTTGGAGATTTGTAAAGGACAACGTCTACAGGAGGAGAGTGTCGAACATTGATGATCTAAAAGCAAGAATTGCAACCGCAATAGCCTCCGTGGATGCCGACATGCTTGCCGGTACCTGGTGTGAAACTGAATATCGACTTGATATTCTCCGTGCGACGAAGAGGGCACACGTGGAAGTTCATTGACAAGGGTCATGAAACGTTTTGAGTCTGTCTAACCATTTATGTTATTAATTTTTAATGTATCTTTATTATTTTATGAGTTATTAAACATCAAAATGGGTTCGGGACTTTATAAACACACTGTATTTTGCGATTTTGCTCTAGAACTGAATTTTATGGTTTAATCTCGAAGAAAGTGATATTTAATAATTAATGGTGACAGACAAAATGTTAAAAAAGTGCCCCATTTAGACGTAATTTAAGATCTGAAAACTTTAAAGTTTTTAACTTTTTTTTATTTATTTATTTATGCAATATAGCTGCCTTCCTCTACACGAATTCCTAAGTTAGATTGTTTCTATATCTCTTCACTTTCTGTAATTAATTAGAAGCAGATTTCTATAAATTTTATCTCTTATCTTAAAACACAGCTGTTGTTTTAAATACTGTTGTGTGCGTACGTTTGCATAATAGTTTGAATGCACACAGGATCGATGATAGCTTCATAAAAGTTATTTTACCAAAAAAATACTTCAGAGTTCTGAAATTTTCCACAAATATATTCGCACAGCTCTTTCCAATATCACAGAAAATAATCAGTAGTTACACTTCAAACTGTAAAGGACGTTAAACACACCTCAATGAAAAGCGCATCTGAAGAGCGAAGCTAACACGGAGATATCTTAAT